AGTACCTGAAGTGGCTTTTCCCCCAGCACATGAAATCCAACCTGTACCGCTTGTGCTACACGCATGTGGGCCAGGACTTCTCCATCTGTAATTACTGGAATGGTAAGATAATTCCTAGTTCTCCTTCTTCTGCCATTACCACCGTCCTAAATTCGTTAACATTCGATGTGCTTTCGGCTGCCCAAATAACTTCCACCGACAGCAGCGGTTCTTCGCCGCTCCTCCTCCAGATGTTTTGAACTTCAGCTGCCAGAAGTCCAGACTAATACAGTCAACAGTGAGGGATGCCGAGACATGAAGTCCAAGAAAGCTGCAGGACAGGAGTCTTGGCATATTTGACCAACATATTCTTAGCAGTTGTTAATAAAAGCCCTAACGGTGTTGACCCCCCGTTTTCAGGCTGTGAGTGCTGTTGCTCGCACAGCCAAAACTGTTCCACCTACTCTTAGAGGAACCCCTCTTCGGAAATGCAAAGATCATGTAGGAGAAAAAAAATCTAAAAGGATGTGAGTGGGCAAAAGATGCCCCAAAGTACTTCTTTGAAGATTGAGGCTTTTCCAGAAGGAGTGAACATTCCTCTCCACCTTTTCCTGCTTGGTCATGAAAGACAGCAAGGATTACCAGCGTTCAGAACTTCTCCTTATGTGAAATATCTTTCTCTTTAGGAAATCTTAGAAACCTGTTTTGCTTCCCAGCAACATTGTCTTCTGGAATTTTCTCTCTATGTGTTCGCCTCTGTGCGCATGTTGCATGCGCATCTGCATGTTCTAATTGAAACCCTCATGGAAAGCTTCAGACCTGGAGGCTCTGACAGTGGACACAAGCTTCAGTGGGAAGCACTGTAGCGCTAAACTGTGCTCTTTCCTGGAACAGAATAAGACTGAAAATAAACCATGCTGAAAGGAGGGATAAAAAGAAATGGAAAGTAACCTGACTACTGATTTAAGTGAAACAGGCCCTATGTCATGTGGACAGCAGGCCGAGGCAAAGAGGCAGTCCCGAAAGCAGCAAAATCAGGGAGCTGGACAGGGGACAGACTGGATTTGTCTTCAGTGTGGAAGGGATTGTCACTCTCGAATTGGCCTTCTCAGCCACACTAGACGCTGTTCCAAGTCCTCCATACAGAGCACGTTACCATAGTCCCTTGAGACTGAAGGATGCCTGATCTAATGTTCACATCTGAAGAAAACAGTTTTTAGAGTGTCTCCTGCGTTCCTTGCAGAGGTGTGTGTGTGTGTTGTGTGTGCGCGCGCAATTGGGTGAAGGTAGGAATCAAACAAAATTTCTCTTCACTTTTCCCTCATGGCTTCTTTATTTCCAGATCCACATCATAGGGATCTTTACCTCAACAACAGCAACTTCTTGGCTTTGCTAAATGATGAGAGACTCCATCCCAACGCATCTGGTAATAATTCGGTTACCCCTCACTCCTAACAAACGAGAGCCAGCAGTCGGTTAGCCCTGCTTGGCAAGCCCACCCCACGTCTTTAGCCACATCCGGTTCTCTTGTTATCCTAATGTAGCGCTCTCTGCCTGCTTCCCATCCATGAACAAAACATGGTATCTGAGCTCCTCGTCTTTGGCCAGTGAGACCTCAAGTATTCTCGCTTCTTGTGCCTTCAGAGGTGTGAACAATGAAGCGAGTCGGGGGCCAAAGAGAAATTTGAACAAGGGACTTTGTAGCGCTCACACAGCTCCTTTAGAGCAGGGGTGGGTGATCTTGGCTGGACCGAGGGCCAAATTCTGCTTTTGGGGGAAGCCACACCTCCTACTCAAGAAAGCTTGAAAAAATGGAAACAATCTATTGAAAAAAGTAGCTAGGAGCCACACCACTGCTGTTTTTGGGGTGTGTGTGTGCAAATATTGGGGAGGACCCTGAGGAGCAAAAACAGGCACATTGGCTTCCCCCATGCTATAGAGTCAAACACAAGAATTGCAGCCATGTTTATTAGCTCGTCGGTCTTCCCCATACTTATATAAAACACTAGAGGCCATTTGGATTATGGCAAAGAGAAGAATCAGGCCCCAAGTCTGGGGGAGAAAAGTGTTCCCACCACCACTACCACAGCTTCTTATCGTCTTGTAAGGATGATGCCGAGTGTCCTTCTTGGGTCAAGCATTTCAGGAAAGGATCTTCTGTGGGTTGGCTCAGGGCTTTGATCAATAGCAGAAGCAACACTATTACCCTTAAGCTGTGCTGAAGACAGAAAGGGTGGGTGTGTGGTGGTGGTAGTGGTGGTGGGGAGAGAACAGAATTTGGAAGAGAACTTTCTGTTTCGCCCTTTAGGGTTTTACAGGGAAGGCCCTAGAAGCACATACAGTGGTGCCTCGCAAGACGAGTGCTTCGTTTAACGAAGAAATTGCATAAC